AGGTCCTGCACAATGCAAACTCCTTTGGCACATTGCATACATTGACAGAGGATTGCCTCTCAAGGCCATGACCTTTTAATAGTGCCCCCTTCTCTTTCAACTTCAGGGATGTTGGCCTGTACTGCAACCTGGAAGCTACCAATATGATATACTACCTAAGAGATGGATGGTTAGTCTTTCTTCTTTGCAATAAATACAGAAGATGTTAATTGCTACACAGTGTTTGGAAACAGAATCTGCAAGATTCCTTCTAGTAAATTGATATCAGGTTGAGCCCTGAAAAAACTTCCGGCAATTTCAGTTTCTTTGAGTAAGTTGGTCCTTTTTCAGAGAAACTAAAAAAGCATTCTTCTTCAGGGTCTTTTAGTTGAGGTTGCTTTGCTCAGACTGCCTTAGTTTCTTAGTTCTGTTGGAATATTTTCATGATGTATTACTGAAAGGTAAAGGTTCACAATGAAGCCACTGTTTTTACCTTTGCAGATCATTTAGCCAATTAAAAAGGCCCCAAAAAAACTGGCTTCATGGTCCATGTCAATCAATTGCTCATTAGTTACAGAGACGAAAATTCTGTCATTTTCTTTAAGTTCAAATATTCCACCTTGATAGATGGAATAGAGTCCATATTCTGAATCTTTAGACCAACAACTATTTCTAGCACTTTTCATCAGCAGTATAGGGTCAGGATAGCTTGTGGTTTTGTAAATATATTGTACCATTTGTTTGTTTTTCTTCCTGTTTTCTTTTGATGAAATTGCTCCCAATGTTTCCTCAGGTTCCAGAAATCGAAAATACGTTTGAGAATAAATGTAATAAAATCCTGTTTGATGGATAATCAGCTCTCCATTCCGCAAGTGCAAATTATTCAGAAATGAATGTCCTCTTCTTGATGACTCCCAGGAGTTTATTTTCTGGCCCAAAACCTTTTCATTCTTGGAGTCTGGATGAAGGGTGGAGAGAAAAGGAGTTAAAAGAAAGGAGTTCATAGCAAATCAAGGAGTTTCCCAGTAGCTCTGGCTACCCTATTGTTTTGGTTGGGATTGTAAAGGATTTCAACTTAACAAAAACTGCTCTTTCAATCTTACAAGAATTCTAAATTCCAGTCATATAGAAATCTGGAGGTTCCTGTATCACTGTGACCCCTTGGGAATCCCTTACCTTTCTGTAACTCATTTGTCCCTTATGCCACATTGGCTACACTTAATTCTGAATGACAACACTGGGGATGATGGTACATTCAGGTGGTAATCTTTACTCTTGGGCAGAATTTCTGTCCTGAATGCCTGCCTCCCTTCCTACGCCAGTGGGCTCAAATGAACAACATAGAAGGAAACCAAAAGAAATCTATCTGTTTCCTTAAGCCTAGAGCTCAGAAATTCTTGCTAGTCCTTTGAGTCTCTTTGGGTCCCTCCTTAGTCTTTCTCAGAAATCCAGAGTCAAAGGTACCATCCAAGCAGAAGCATCCTAGTCCACAATAACATAGGGTACAAGGTTTGGCAATGAGAGCCCAGATCTAAAGATCATCAGATCCCTGAATCTTTAACTCCCAACAATTTGTAAATAAAATAAGCCCCTACCAAAATATGACTATCTTTTCACCTTTGGGCTCATCTCCATGATTGGTACAAATTTTAATTTTTCAAGAGTTTGAAATTATTGTCATAGTTGTCGATAATAGTAAACAGTAACATCACGGTAATGATCTCCGGCATAAGCAGAACATGTCAAGCGTATATAAAATCTGAGTTGAAGAATACCAGGGAGACAGCTATCTAAAAACAACTCCCCACCCCTAACAATCTTTTGTTCCATAAACTGATGCCTGAAATTTCTCAACATGGGACTGACCTTGCATAATAAGAAAAGCAAATATTTATTGAGTATTTCCATTGCACTGGCAGTTTGCCTGTATTAATCTTCACTGTTTTATGAGTTGAAGATTATGCATATACTTTGTATATGAAGAAACTGAGTCTTGATTTATTCAAGTAATTTGCTCAAGACATAGATCTAAGTAAAGGGAAGCTGGGATTCCAGTGTGGGCATTTAGACTGTATTACTCTGCACTTAACTATAGCACTGTACAGACACTTGTTCAACAGTTAAAAATTAGGCCTATCAAATTTGGTTAAACTGTATGAAACTGACATTTCTGTACATGAAAAATGGTCAAATATTGGCAACTTCCTTTAGTTTAACTGATATAAATGCTACTTGTAATACTTGGTCACTATCCATGGTGAATATAAATAACTGATTTAGGATCTGTAAAAAAGATTTGATGGAATTGAGAGAGAGAAATTGCTTTAGAGAAGAAGAAGAAAATCAAAAATAGGGGCATGGGAAAGTCAAAGACAAAGTTCTCTCACTTCATAATTTTCCTGAGTCCAGTTACACAGGACAGTAACCGAACTGTTTGTCTTACAAGCTTCCTTCTGAAAAGAATCAATCTGAGACCTGATTACCACTGAGCCCTATGTAGATAGCCATATAAACATTTTGGGTACAAGTTAAAAGGTTAAATTATTTGTAACAGATTCTTCCATTGCCTTCCTTTAAGCCACATATTCATTGTTTCTCTTACTTGAAGCTGGGAATGTGTTTCTTCTCTGACTTGTCCCAGTTACATGAGCTGCCGCTCTCTGAACACCTCTTTCGCCTAGTGGGTAAGGAATATGTTGCTGTTTTCCTAGAAGAGAAATGACAGAGAATCATCAGCACTTGTCAAACTACTGCTTAAATATAGGACTGTTCACAGCTGTTGTCAATCAGGCACTGTAAGCACACTGGGCTTCCAAAGTTGGTTGCAGGGGTTTTCATAAAAACAGCCTACATTTTAGCATGGTGATGGGTCTACTTCAGCTTATGTTAATTCAAAAAGTAGTTTAGGTGGGAAGAATAAATGGTGACTTGCATTATAATTTATCAGCATCTCAGGAGAAAGGTCCAACTAGACTATAACAAAATGAAGATTCTAGCCCTTTTCCAAAAAACAAAACAAAATACAAAAACTGTGGACTTGCAATAATTCTGCTGAGTGATTTAAAGTGCACAAATAACTAAGTATTGGCACATTTCCACTCTGTTATATGCAGAAACAACCAGAGTGATACCAATTTTCATCATCTTGATTACTTTTTCCTTTGCCAGCTCCTTCTGATTCTAAAGGAGAAGCAGTGATAACAACTGGCCATAGATGCTGCAAACTGGTATCCAATCTCACCTTCCCACTGGTCATGATAATTGACTGTACTGGTTATGACAACTAGTACAGGGGCATAAAAATCACTGATTCAGTAAATCATAATAAACAAGTAATACTTATTGATCACCATCTGAGGTATTTCGGAGCAGCCTTAAAAATATACAAATTTAATAAATTACTCTAAAAAAAAAAGTCAGCTCAAACTTCCCAAGTGTTTTTATATTAGATGTTAAGATAAATTTTCTTCATCAAGCAAATAATGCTGGGATAAGGCACTACACAACACCTTACAGGAGCTGCAAACATTAACCACTGATTGCCCTGACTGAGACCTCAAGGGACTTATAGTCTCTTAGGGAAGATATGAATTAGAAAGTGAAAATTTACCTATGAGAAATAGAAATAAAGGGTGATGGGGATTCAGAGAGGGGAAAGATCCCTACTTACTTGAGAGCTGAGGTCAGGGGAAGATTTATGCTAAGGGCCATTCATTCACTTACTACAACAATCTAAAGTACAACAATCTAAAGTGTCCATCACATCTATGCCAGGCACTCTTCCAGGAACAAGGAGAAAGACTATAAAAAAACATAGGCAAGAAAGCATTTGAGGTATAAGATTTAATGATTTGAATAGGGTGAGGATGGGCTGGCTTGGGTCTGCAGAATGGGAGAAGGGCATTCCAGAGATCTAGAACAGAGGCCCAATGCAGACTGCAGACAGCATTCCTGTGACATAGGTATGGGAATTAAATTTTAGGCTTGAATGAGGAGCCAAACTATAAAGGATTTGAATGTTAGGCTAAGAGATTTAGATTTTATAGGACATGGGAAGACTCTAAAAAGTTTTGGGCAGGGAAGCAAAGAGATATGAGCTGTGCTTTGGGCTAAGCCACAGTATCATTTCATGGACAGAAGGAAGGTGAGAGTGCTGAAGACTGGCAAAGCACCAGACTATTATAGTTGATCGGAACTGAGAACAAAAGGGCTAAATCTAGGCTAGTAGTAGAAGAAACTGAAAGGAGGTGATAAAATTCCAAAGGAGGAAAAATGGTAAATGCGAATCTATTCTGTCTATCTGGTATTAATTATTACTTATTCAGGATCAGTGAAGACCAAACATGGCATGGGGATGCAAAGTCAGTAATGACAGTCAAATATGACTGCCAGAATGCTCAGCTTTCAAAGTTGATGTGTACATTTGCCTTGAACTTCCACTGTTAAATAATTCATAATCTCTTTCCTGCCTCTAGACATTAACACTTTGTATTCAAATACTCAATAACTCACTTCAATTACAAATATTTTGCATTTATAGGATGTGGGAAAGCCTAAATTTAAAAGCAGATTCTAAAAAGAGGAAATTTGCTATTGGCTATAGCAAACACCTTCCAGAAAAGAAACCTGTGAATATGTATATTTGGGTGGCATGGATACCTCTTGGGCTATTGAGAAGTATATTATTTTTGTACTTTATTGGGATGAAAAAAAAGAATATTTTTCTCCCAACACTGAAAATAGTACATGCATCTACTGTAGACTATAGATCTGGTATGCCTCATCAGAAGAGGTTGAGTGTTGAGCATTGTGACTACCACATTTGCTTTCAGGGGAATGATTAAAAAGAATGCTCAGACCCTGGGACCAGGTCTTATCCTTCTATTTAATAAAGGAAAATGGGTGTTGCCAAATGATAAGAAAACTTATTGTTTTGGGAAAGGATAACTGAAAAGGAGGAAGACATCATTAACAACACATATATTAAAAAACTGTTTCTTCTATGCTAGGCTGGTATACCTCAGGGCTGTTAAGTCTCTGGTATATGTGTTCAGGCCTGTATGGGCACTGGTTTGGGAAAATGGGGCTACAGTGAGCCAAAAGTGAAGAAATAGCAAATTTAATTCAGTTATTTTATTTACTTACATATTCATTCAAAAAATATGTATTAAGAAACTTCTATGTAGAGACAGATGGTGGTGGCACAATACTGTGATTGCATTACTGCTGAATTGTGCACTTGAAAATAGCTAATCATAGGGTTTCTGAAGATGACAGAGTAGGAGAACCCTGAGCTCACCTCCACGCATGAGGATACACCAAGACTGAAACTATATAAGAAGAAACTTTTTCTGAGAACAACCTGAAAACTAGGAGAACAGATCTTTTACAATTAAAGATATAAAGAAAAATCCATGTTGGGAAGGATAGGAGGGGCAGAAAGTGTCTGGTAGGGACCTACACCCCTGGCAGGGCAGCCTATAAGTAGGAGGAATATCACAGACACATAGGTCCTCCCTAAAAAGAGAGGAATCCAAACCCCATGTGGGACACCCCCAACCCTGGATATCTGCACTGGGAAAACAAGCCCCCATAATGTCAAGCTTCGGAAATCAGTGGGGCTTACTGCGGGAAAGCCAGAGGGCTATAAGAATCCAAGACTCAACTCTAAAGGTTCTTACTCTGAGACTCAGCATAAAGACAGCAGTTTGAAAACTGTCTGAGCCATAGATGCAGATTTGTTGACTTATTTTATAGTGTGTACCAAAAGAGTAGGGATCTGTAGGAAATTTCTCCACTAACAGAGGCACTAGCAGGTGCCATTTTTCTTGCCCTACTTCTGTCTAACTAGTCTAACCTGAACAATCTACCTTGTTAGCACCATTCACCTCATTCCAGCATTCCCCTGTGGACTTGCCCTGAGAAACACCCCTCCAAAGTAGCTCCCACCCTGCCACATCTGATGGGAAGCCTGAGTTGGGAGAATGCCCTCCTAAAGTGGCTACTGCCTCACCACACCCACTTTGGACCAGTGCCCATCCAAAGTGGTTCCTGCCCCACTGCAGGAAGGGATTGTGGCAGCCCTGCCCATCAGCAGGCTTGCAACAGTTGTGGCAAGGCCTCTTAGCCAGCCACAAGGGGGCCAGTCCCACCCAATTTACATCTACAAAAGTCTCAGCCCAGTCACAATAGGAGAGCACATTCTGCCCACCACATGGGACATCCCTGGTTCTGGTGACCAGAAGGGATTGTGTTTCTCACCCTCACAGGATGCCTTCTCCATAAGGCCCCTCCTTCAGGACCAGGAGACGTAGCTGGCCTGCTTAATACACAGAAACAAACACAGAGAGTGAGATAAAGGAGGAGACAGAAGTTTATGTTGCAAATAGAAGAACGAGATAAAACCTTAAAAAAAGAACTAAATGGAATGGAGATAAGCAATCTATCTGAAAAAGAGCTCAAAGTAATGTCCATAAAGATGCTCAGTGAACTCAGAAGAATGGATGAACACAGTGAGAACTTCAACAAAGATATAAAAAATATAAAAAGGAACTAATCAGAGCTGAACAACACAATAACTGAAATGAAAAATACAATAAAGGAATCAACAGCAGATTAGAGGATGCAAAAGAACAGATCAGTTATCTGGAAGTCAAGGGAGTAGACATCATCCAAGCTGAACAGCAATAAATGAAAGAGCATTTTAAAAAATGAGGATAGGTTAAGGGACCTCTGGAACAATATCAGGCTTATTTTAGTGAATTTATATTGTAGGGATCCCAGAAGGAAAAGAGAGATAGAAAGGAGAAGCAAATGTATTTGAAGAAATAAGAGCTGAAAACTTCCCTAATGCAGGGAAGGAAATAGACATCCAGATCCATGAATCACAGAGAGCCCCAGACAACATGAACCCAAAGTGGTCCACACCAAGACACATAATAATAAAATGCCAAATATTAAAGATAAAGATAGAACTTAAAAACAGCAAAATAAAAGCAACCAGTTGTTCACAGGGAACACCCATAAAATTATCAGCTGATGTTTCAGCAGAAACTTTACAGACCAGAAGATTGTGGCATAATGTATGCAAAGTGCTGAATGAAGAAAACCCTACAACCAAGAACACTGTACCTGGAAATATTATCATTCATATTTTAAGGCAAAATAGAGTTTCCCAGATAAACAAAAGTTAAAGTAGTTGTTCACCAATAAACCAGTTGTATAAGAAATATTAACAGGCACTTGAAGTGGAAAATAAAAGACCATAACTAGAAGTAAAAAAATATATAAAAGAAAAAAATCTCCCTGGTAAGAGCAAACTAATAGTAAAGGTAGTGGATCAATTACTTATAAAACTAATATGAAGTTTAAAAAAGAAAAGTAGTAAAATCATCTCTATCTACAATAATTAGTGAAGTGGTACAAAAAATAAAAAGATATAAAATATGATGTCAAATACATAAAACATGGAAGCAATAGTAAAAATGTAGTACTTTTAGAATGTATTCAAACTTAAGTGACCATCAACTTAAAGTAGACTACTATATATAGTTATAATTATGTTATATACAAACCTCAAGGTAACCACAAACCAAAACCTATAATAGATACAGAAAAAATAATGAAAAAGGAATCCAAACAAAACACTCAAGAAAATCATCAAACCACAAGCTAAGAGAGTAAAGGAGGAAGAAACAGAGAAGAACTACAAAAATAACCAGATAAAAATTAACAAAATGGAGTTGTGTACATATGTATTAATGATTACTTTAAGTATAAACAGACTAAATACTCCAATCAAAAGATACAGGGTGACTGAATGGATAAAACTACAAGACCTATCTATATACTGCTTACATGACTCACTGTAGACCTAAAGACACATACAGACTGAAAGTGAAGGGATGGAAAAAGATATTCCATGTAAATGGAAATGAAAAAAAATTTGGTGTAGCAATACTTATATCAGACAAAGTAGACTATAAAACAGACTGTAACAGGAAACAAAGAAGAGCATTAAATAATAATAAAGGAATCAATCCAACAAGAGGATAGATATAACAATTGTAAATATCTATGCACTCAACAGAGAAGCACGTAAATGTATAAAGCAAATATTAACAGACATAAAGGGAGAAAATGACAGTAATACAATAACAGTAGAGAGCATTGCCTTGCATACATCAATGGATAGATGATCTAGAGAGAAAATTAATAAGGGAAGAGTGCCCTTAAATGATACATTAGACCAAATGGGCTTAACAGATATGTATAGAACATTCTATCCCCAAACAGAATACACATTCTTCTCAAATGTGCATGGAACATTCTCCAGTACAGATCACATGTTAGGCCACAAACCACATCTCAAATTTTAGAAGACTGAAATCATATCAAACATCTTTTCTAAGCACAATGGTATGAAACCATAAATCAATTATAAGAAAAAAACTTGGAAAAACACAAACACATGAAGACTAAACAACATTCTACTAAAAAAAAGAATCAATAAAGAAATCAAAGAGGAAATAAATACCTTGTGACAAATGAAAATGCAAACAAATTGTTTCAAAATCTTTGGAATATAAAAAAGACAGTTTTAAGAGGGGTTTTTGTAGTGATACAGGCTCTCAAGAAACAAGAAATATCCTAAATAAACAATCTAATCTTATACCTAAAGGAATTAGAAAAAGAACAAAGAAAGCCCAAGTTAGTGGATGGAAATAATAAAGGTCGGAGTGGAAATAAATGAAATAGAGACTAAAAGAAGAAAAAATAGGAAAGATCAATGAAACAAATCACTGGCTCTTTGAAAATATAGATAAAATTGATAAACCATTAGCCATACTCATCATGAAAAAAAAGAAAAAGAACTGAAATACAAGAAATCAGGCATGAAAGAGTAATTACAACTGACACACAGAAATAAATACAAAGGATTATCAGAGACTACTATGAAAAAATCATATGCCAACATATTGAACCACCTAGAACTAATGAATAAATTCCTAGAAACATACAATCTTCCAAGACTAACCCAGAAAGAAATAGAAAACCTGAACAAACTAATCACTAATAATTACATTGAATCAATAATTAAAAAGCTCCCAAGATATTAAAGTCCAGGAGCAGATGGTTTCACAGGGGAATTCTCCCAAACATTTAATGAAGAGTCAATACCTATCCTTCTCAAACTATTCCAAAATTATTAAGAGGAAGGAATACCTCCAAATCCATTCTACAAAGCCAACATTACCCTGATACCAAAACCATACAAAGACATGACAAAAAAGAAAGTTACAAATCACTATACCTGATTAACATAGATGTAAAAATCCTCAACAAAATATTAGCAAATTGAATTAAAAAAATAAATCAAAGGGCTCATTCATCATGACTAAGTAGAATAATTTCCAGGAATGCATGGCTGGTACAATATCTGCAAATCAGTCAGTGTAATACACCACATTAACAAAAGGAAGAATAAAACCACTTGATCATTTTAACAAATGCAGAAAAGACATTTGACAAAATTCAGCATCCATTCATGATAAAAAGTCTCAACAAAGTTGGTTAAAGGGACATACCTCAACAGCATAAAGATAATATACAAGAAGCTTACAGAAGACATCACATTCAATGATGAAAAGCTTTCAGCTTTTCCTTTAAGATCAGGAACAAGACAAGGATGACCACTCTCACCACTTTTACTCAACATAGTATTAGAAATCCTAGTTATAGCAATCAGACAAGATAAAGAAATAAAACACATCTAACTTGGTAAGGAAGAAGTAGAACTGTTATTATTTTCAAATTACATGATACTATATATAGTGTACATGATTAAAGACTCCAGCCCAAAACTATTAAAACTAATAAATGAATTCAGTAAAGTTGCTGAATACAAATTAATACACAGAAATCTGTTGCATTTCTATACACTAATAAACTCAGAAAAAGAAACTAATAAAACAATTCCATTTACAATTGCATCAAAATAATAAAATACCTAGGAATAAATTTACCAAAGAGGTGAAAGACCTCTACTATGAAAACAATAAGACAATGCTAAAAGAAATTGAAGATGACAGAAATAAATGGAAAATATACCATGCTAATGGGTTGGAATAATTAATATTGTTAAAATGTCCATAGTACCCAAGGCACTCTAGATTCAGTACAATTCCTATCAAAATACAAATAGCATTTTGCACAGACCTAAAACAAATAATCCTAAAATTAGTAGGGAACCACAAAATATCCCAAACAACCAAACAATATTAAGAAAGAAAACAAAGCTGGAGGTATCACAGAAATGGATTTCAAACTATACTACAAAGCTATAGTAATCAAAATAGTATGGTACTGACACAAAAACAGAAGCATACATCGATGGAATAGAATAGAGAACCCAGAAATAAACCCACATCTATATGGCCAATTAATCTATGATAAAGGAGGCAAGAATATACAATGGGGAAGATAGTCTCATCAATAAGCAGTCTTAGGAAAACTGGGCAGCCACATGCCCAAGAATGAAAGTTGGCCACTTTCTTATATCATATACAAAAGTCAAGTCAAAATAGACTGAAGACTTGAACGTAAGACCTGAAACCATAAAGCTCCTGAAAGGAAACATAGGCAGTCAACTCTTGGACATCTGTCTTAGCAATATTTTTTTGAATCTGTCTCCTCTGGCAAGGACAACAAAGCAAAAATAAACTGGGACTACATCAAATGAAAAAGATTCCCCACAGTAAACAACACCATCAACAAAACAAAATGGCAACTACTGAATGGGAGAAAATATTTTCCCATGGTGTATCTGATAAAGGGTTAATTTCAAAATACATAAAGAACCCATACAACATCAAAACAAACAATTTATTTAAAAATGGGCAGATGAGCTGAAAAGACATATTTCCAAAGATATATAGACAGCCAAAAAACACATAAAAAATGTTTCACATTACTAATCATCAGAGAAATGTAAATCAAAATCACAATAAGAGGATATAGAGAAAAGGGAACCCTCATGTACTATTTGTAGGAATATAAATTGATATAGCCGCTATGGAAAACAGTACAGAGCTTTCTCAAAATATGAAAAAATAAAACTACCATATGATCCAGCAATTCCACTTCTGGGTATTTATCTAAAGGAAATGAAATCACTATCTTAAAAAGATATATGCACTCCTATGTTTGTTGCAGCATTATTTACAATAGCCAAGATAGAGAAGCAACCTAAGTGTTTATTGATAGATGAATGGAGAAAGATGTGATGTGGTATGTATGTGTGTGTGTATATATACAGATACATACATATATATATATATACACACACATATCTGCCTTATTACTCAGCCACAAAAAATAATGAAATCTATCCATTTGCAACAATGTGGATGGACCTAGAGGGTATTACTCTAAGTGAAATAAGTTAGTGAAAGAAAGACAAGTAACATGACTGCACTTACAGTGGAATCTAAAAAGCAAAACAAATGAACAAACAAAACAAAACAGAAACAGACTCATAAACACAGAGAACAAACTGGTGGTTGCCAGAGGGAAGGGGCAGGAGAATGGATGAAATGGGTGAAGGGGATTAAGAACTACAAACTTCCAGTTATAAAAGTAAGTCATAGGAGGTATAAAGTACAGCATGAGGAATACAGTCAGTAATATTGCAATAACTTTGTATGGTCATGACAGTTATTGTGATGTACATTTCATTATGTGAATACAAGTCAAATCTCTATATTGTACACCTGAAACTAGTATTATATGTGAACTATCTATTAAAAAATGAGAATACCTTCTACCTCAAAAAAAGGTTATGTGTATGTTATGTGAATTTCATCTCAAAATACACACACATACACAAGGCTTGAGGCACAGAGTTAGATGCTAGGTATAAAGAGATGAGAAAAATAGACAAATTTTCTGTCTTTGTGGATTTTTAATCTACTGGTAATCAGATAGCACACAGATAAAATATACAAAAGGAAATGAGCAAGATAAGTGTGATAGAAATGACAGGATGTGGGGGAACTTACAGTGGTGGCCACAGAAGGTCACTCTGGAGAGGTGAGGATTAGGTGATGAGGATGAAAGATGAGATGGAGCCAATTATATGAAAATCCAGGAGTGGAAGAAGCCAGATGGAAGACCAAAGAAGCAGCCTGAGCAATAACACGGGCGAGTGGTGTGGGTCCAGAGCAGGCTGCTGTCCATGAATGGGAAGATGGACATGGCATGGGTGCCACAGGATGAGAACCGTGGTGAGGGAGAAGGATTGTTGGGAAGGAGATGGAACAAGGGGCTTTTGCTAAAGAAAGGCACAGAGCCTAGTGGGGGTCAGCAACAGAGAAGATGGGTAACTCTGGAGCCCTGATTTATCTTCAAGACATGTGCCAGGAAGGATCTGGATAGCTTATTTGCAACAAGTTGTAAAGTAATATATAAATAATTGAAGAAATTGAAGTGAAAAGAAGATCCATGTTGGAAAAATAAGATTCAGAGGAAATAAAGTTCTGACCACAGGTGGGACACAGATTTGGTTCTGAGCTTTCTGGCTGCTAATGCAAACAGAAAAATAGAATCAAGTGGCTGGAGACACTGAGCAGCAGAGGCAGGATGTGTGGAGGGCAGCAGAAAGAAGAAGATGGAAAGCATTCACCCTGTCATGAAGTTGACAGTAGAAAATTAAAATAACAACAAAAAAATACTACCTGGAATTGTAGGAATGGTTTCCTCATAGGTTCTCAAAACCATCTGTAAATAGTATTGAATAAAGCTTGTTAATTTCCCTAAAAATTTAAGCTGTCTATAGAATGACTATGGCTCCTCTTGCTGATGTCTCACATGAAATTTCTACATAAGATATCAACCTAGGAAGCTCTAAGATGTTCAAGCATAGAGTTTATGTGGGACAGGGTGGAGTTGGGATGATTACTGAGGCAGCTGTCCCTACATGTGATCCAAGGATAGTCCTGTCTGGGGAAGTTGTTTCTGGGTGAAGACTTTGAAAAGCCACGCCTGGAGCAGCACAGGAGGAAGGAAACATCTGACCAGTTGAATCAGCTTAGTGTTTCCCAGACCTCTTTGTGGCTGATGGACATGCAGCCATGACACTTCACTTCCTCTGTGTGGGGGGAGTGTGTCTGCAAGCATGTGTGTATATAAGTGCACTGTGTAGGGTTCAGGGCCTTTAAATATTAACCTCAAGATGTAAGGCACAGTTCCTCTCGTGACACCCGCAGGCATACGGTCCAGCAGGATGTTACACTGAGTTATTCTCTCATTTCTGAGAATGTGGCCAAGACTT